TTTTTTTTTTTTTTTTTTTTTTTTTTTTTTTTTTTTTTTTTTTTTTTTTTTTTTTTTTTTTTTTTTTTTTTTTTTTTTTTTTTTTTTTAATTCTTTGCTTGTCTTATTCTAATTCTTGTTTCTTCCATCCTGTTTTTATGCGCCTTCCCGCGGACCCACCCGTCCGTCCCTCCCTAACTCAGGGCTTGAACCCAAGACCCTCCCCATCTTTACCAATCGCCGTAAGGGGATCCGCTCTGTATTACATATAGGACGTAAGCATTGGAACACGACCACCGAGGGGTCGCTTTTTCTGAAGGAACCCAGGTTTTTACCAATAAGTGTAGGTAGACGAATACAGGACCAGATTCCATTAGATAGTGACGAACCTCAACTTCTCGGATTCCATCGAAAAAATAGGGGGAACCGCGTGGGATTGCCCATGTTGTGCTCTCTTCTCTTCTCTTCTCTCCTACCGTTTTCCCTTTTCTTTTCTGTTGTTTTCATATATATGTATACTCCTGTCATTTATAGCATGCGCATTGTTAGCCTGTCCTATAATATACGATTGACTGTATTTCTTCTACGGAGCGGAGCTTGCGTGCCAAGGTGACTGTTCGGCTATGGCGGACTGGGACTTTACAACCGGAGCGGAGGAGGACCTTCCGATAACGTCAGAACCCGAGGAGGATTTCACGGCGGAAGAAGCGGTACACGGTCCTATATCTCCCTACTCGTATGGTTGTTTGGCTGTCTGTCTCTGTCTATGCAGTGGATGTGCTTTTTGCAAGAACATAACCCCTCTGATAAGCCGGTTGAGTGGCAACGGCGAAAAAGCTTTTAGGGGAGCCACACCCCTCCTGCAGCGTTCAGCATCCTATGAAGTGTAAACCGAGCCGCAGGCCTGCTTTCTCCCAAACGTTCTGCCATATCGGACTTCGCTGCCCACCAGCTTCACTTGGCTTCTCTAACTTCTATCGAAGTTACTCTTAGTTCACTCTTCAGTGGTTCTTCGTAATCAGGACTCTGGATGACGGGATACCCTGTTGGTTGCAATCGACTATTTGGCTTTATCTTCCTTGTTTTATACTGCCAGGATTTTACATGCTCCCGCATCTTTACTTTCTATCCCTCTGACTCTCTCAGTCTTTGCTCACTATTGGCTTGTTGGAATGACATGTAGCCTCGGTCATTAACTGTCTTCTTCTTCTCCGTCTTTCACATCCTATATATATATATATATGTAGATTTGTATACTCTGCCTGCTCTACTATTCAGGTTTGGATTTATGTGCATGCCTTTATTAATAATAAGTATAATCTTTTCTATTGATGTGTATTCGATACCTATGGATGATACAGCTTCGTC